CACACACACACACACACACACACACACACACACACACACACACACACGCAGATAATTGTGGTAGTAGCTGAGAGTCGTCCCCAGCACACACTCCAGGTGCCGACTGGTCGGAGAAGCTGCGAGGCGGCGGGCGATCAGCTTCCTGAAGTTTCTGTTTCTGACCCGTTCTTCATAACGAGGCGCAGATGAAGCGACGTGTCCTGTCTGAGGTCCAGTTAACGGTCTGAACCGTCCCGGTGGTGGAAGACCAGCCCGTTTGGACCTTTTGACTGAAAAGTTGCTGTTTAAACCGTTAAACTTGAGATCCGTGTGGCTCCGGGGTCACAGGAAGCTCCGTTTGTTCTTGTGGACCGACTGGACCCTCTGCTTCCTGTTCCAGGGTCAGTGCGGGTCCTGCTGGGCCTTCAGCACCACCGGAGCCCTGGAGGGCCAGGAGTTCAGGAAGACCGGTAAGCTGGTGTCGCTGAGTGAGCAGAACCTGGTGGACTGCTCCAGACCCGAGGGCAACGAGGGCTGCAACGGAGGCCTGATGGACCAGGCCTTCCAGTACGTCAAGGACAACCAGGGTCTGGACTCTGAGGACTCCTACCCCTACCTGGGAACCGTACGTAACCCGAGCCCAGAGGTTTTTGTAAAGGTCCTACAGGGTTGCCATGACAACGATTTCTGTCTTTCAGGACGACCAGCCGTGCCACTACGACCCAAAGTTTAACTCCGCCAACGACACCGGGTTTGTGGACGTCCCCAGCGGCAACGAGCGCGCGCTGATGAAGGCCGTGGCTGCGGTGGGACCGGTTTCCGTCGCCATCGACGCCGGGCACCAGTCCTTCCAGTTCTATCAGTCCGGTCAGTTCTACATCCCATTACACTCAAACGGGGTTTAAACCCAAGAACGGGGTTCATGTTTCAGAAATGTTGATTTAAAAAGAGTTGAACCTCAAAAAGAAGAAAACAACTAAAGTTTATTAAAAACTGGACATGGTGTGTCCAAATCTAAACGTTTCTGACTTTAAATAAAAGTTATAAACCAAGAATAAAATGTTTTAAAAGGACAAAAATTCTCCTCCGACCTCCCGATCCGAACCCGGTTTTGCTCATCTCGACCTGGTTCTGGTGTTTCAGGGATCTACTACGAGTCTGAGTGCAGCAGCGAGGAACTGGACCACGGCGTGCTGGTGGTGGGCTACGGCTTCCAGGGAGAAGACGTGGACGGCAAGAAATACTGGATCGTCAAGAACAGGTGAGGGACTGGTGCCGGTCAAGTCCCGGGTCTGAGGACGGAACAGCCTGGTCTCAGATCTAACCTCGGATTGAGCTGAAAAATGAATTTAATTCATTTTTACAAGTTTTTCTGAAGAGCTGATCAGTGAAAGTGGACTGTGCTGACCTGTTTTCAGTCACTTTAGCTGTTACTGTGGGCCAGCTGGCCCTGCTTTAGCTGTTTCTGTGGGTCAACAGGCCCTGCTTTAGCTGTTTCTGCCCTGCTTTAGCTGTTTCTGTGGGTCAACAGGCCCTGCTTTAGCTGTTTCTGCCCTGCTTTAGCTGTTTCTGTGGGTCAACAGGCCCTGCTTTAGCTGTTTCTGCCCTGCTTTAGCTGTTTCTGTGGGTCAACAGGCCCTGCTTTAGCTG